TGAATATTATAGTCAATTTCTACCAATAGATCCTCCCAAATGTTACACACTGGGCCTTTATGTGTACCAAGTTCTAAACCATCACAGTCTGTGTTTGTAAATGTAATCTGTGGTCCATGGCTGCAGTACAGACCTCATCTTTCCACACCAGGTAGATGACGTCACAGTCTGCATCCCACCACGGAGATTCAAACTCTACATATATTTTGTTGCACGTTCCAAATCCTAGTTTGTGGACGGAGTGGAGCTTGTGTGTCGGGAGAGGAGGACAAAACAGGGTTGAATGGTGCTTCTTAAGGTACCCTGATAAAAAGAAAAAAGTTCATGCTTACACGCTGTTTAACCATCAGGGATCTTGCTATATAATTTATACTGAGGTATCTATTTCTATAATTACTTATATTATATTATATTAGACCACAATGTTGTAAGCTGGACTATTTTTCATTGATTTGTTAGATATTTCATGACCAATTTTACAGAAAACCAAAAATTATATAATTTATATTGATATTACAATATAAAATTGATAAACCGTAACAAGAGGATCCATATTGATCATTCTATTTCATGCACTGAGAAGAATATAATACAGGATGTGTGCAGAACTCTACCTAGAGGCACTGTGACAATAACATGATCAGCAGCAATCCTCTCCCCATCATCGCACTCAACCGTCACAGTGTTTACTCCGTTCTTAGTGTTGTTCCAGTGGACGCAGCTCACAGGCCGATTGTAGGTCACTAAATCAGTGGGGAGCTCAGACATCAAGCTCTTGATTAGGCCTTCAAAGCCACTGCATGAAAACAGTATAAATGAAAAGTTACCTGTATGCACATTCCTAACCGTCTGATCTCAACCAAAATATTATATAACATTAAAGTTGTTTTGTGGTGTAATCCACCTAATTTATTTTCTAAATTACTGCCAATTAATTTTCTGTCTATTTGACTTATCTATTAATCAACTAATCACTTCTGTTCTGCTTATGATATGATCGCTGCCACCTGACGGGGTGGTTAGTGCATTGACCTGTTTCAGGTGCATCGTCAGAGTAAACCAACAGCAAAAAGGGCTGAGTGTGTATATTCCTTCATTCAGTCTGATAAATACCCTTTATTTGGTATGTATGAATATGTTTATGAGTCTCTGTAGTCATTCAGCTATGAGACACTGAATGTGATCAGCAATGGTGCTGCGTGTTTGGTTTTTTAATTTCTTGTCCTGATGACTTGTATGTCTCTGTGTTGGGATTGCTGATGTTGTGCTCCCTAGTGGGAATCTTGTATTGTTCTTCTCTGGGGGGTTTCAGGATTATTATTCTTGGGTTTTGTTTCTTAGTTTTTCATATTTCATGTTTTATCTTGTCTGCTCTTACAAAGAGTAAGCTTTTAATTTACTACTTGGCTACTGATGAAAATGAGCATTTATTTTCTACAATACATGTATTGTGCATTGTCCCTGCTAAATAAACATAAAATTTAAAAAAGTAAAATTTAAAAATGGTGGCGTACAAACCGTGGGAATGTGCAGTCCAGTCCACTTAGACCCTTGTACATACAAAACCCCACCAGGTCTATCTCATCCATGGTGTGAGCTGCACTGGCACAACACTCCTCCTTTAACTTGGCACTGACGGCACACAGTAGCAGCTCCCTGGTGGATTTATCCTTATCCTTCCACCTCTCTGCTGCTCGCTGACGTGCCTGCACACACAGTACCACACACACATACAGAGCACTAATGCAGACGTCTGGTTTTACAGGCTTCAGTTTATCATCAAGAGCTTCTCAAGTCTCAGACCAGAAGAAATAACTTTGGTCACTTAAAAACAACGTACCTCTGATCGTATGAAATGTCCGACGCTGGCCCAGGGTGTTTCTTTTTGATTCCTAAATTGTGAAGTATCACTTAATAGCTCATTAAACATCTCCAGAGCAGGACTCATGTGTTCAGTGCTCAGCCTCTGACCTGCACATGACCCAGAGAATATAAAACATTTATAACAAAAATGTTTTTCAATAGCCAGACAACTGGACACATTATGTTTGTCATTGTATGGGATAATGCTAATGCACATGGCTTGAAATAGGAAGAAAGGTGTGTTAAAACAGGCTGGTGACATGTTGAATTTCTACATCTGGTGACCTGAACTGCTGAACCAGTTGGGAACCCAGGGAGGACGTTCATCGATGTCCATGGCCTGGTTCTCTTCGGTGAGGGCCTTTGGATCCAGGAGCCCGTAGTCACGAGCCAGACAAAACAGCGGGTTCTCCTCAGATGGACCATGGATATAACTTGCACCTATCTCCGCAATGTTATTACCTGTAGAGGAAAACCAGGACTGTGTGGTTACACAGTTACATTTACAACTAACATTCAACAAGTAGTGCACTGTCAAATGTCAGGTGCATCATATTTTGTGGTGTATCTGTAGCACTCAGTCGATGAAGAAGAGGTTTGCCAACAGGTGATGCAATTTACAACATAAAATAAATGTGTACTGTTCCAGTTTAATAATTCTTAAAGGCAATTTGTTTTCTCGGAACAAAATAAAACTGTCTGTGGATTGTGGATTATTTCAAGCTTTCAGATTAGTCAGATGGTTTCTACTTTTCTGGCAGCATTGGGAAATAAAATATAATAGTTATTGTGTGAATAAAGAAAATATGGAATATGAAAAATCCAAATTATTTTAAAAAAAAGTAGATTTTTTTTTGTTTCATGGGAAAAATATGAGGGTGGTAGTGATGGGAGGGGACTTAATGTTTTTATAATAAATCCCAGTTATGGCTGCGCCCTTCCCCTCCATTGTAACACAGTGGAGTCAGTCATCTCCTTTGCGGATACCTCAACATCAGTACGGCTAAAAGATTTGCTAAAAACCGACTGATAGAGAAGGCTGCACATGAAGTCGCTCACCCAGTCTGCCTGTTTTTATTCGTCCTCCGCTTCGTGCAGTCGCTTCTAGTATCCGCACATGATGAAATCCAGATTTAACAAGTCTGTGCGCCGCTGCGACACCTGATATCCCGCATCCGATTACAACTATCTGTGGGTCTGCAGACATACTCGCTTCACATTCAACAAATAGCCTAGTATTTCCCAAACTCGTTTAAAGTTCACTTCCGGACTTGAGCAGAAGGATCGATAAAGCTGTGTGGTCATATGGACACAGTGCTGTAGTCTCTACCGCTACAGATATCATTGATAGGATATGAATCCCGTACTTCCCTGTACGGACTTTACTTCGTGCGCACTGTGACTTCCGCCAGCCCTTCTCCAAGTTGTTATTTTACGCATTTTGATGAATCTTTTCCCTAAATCAGGTCCTGGTGAGGGAGCAGTCCCATGGCCGGAGGAAGACAACCTTGCCAGGCAGCTGGACTCGCGAGATAACCTCTGGGAGGGTCATTTTAAAGTGTTCATTATTCATATAGTGTTCATTAATCATTAAAATCGACAGTGGACAGTTGGAATATCGTCCTACATAAGCTATTTATATTTGATCTATTAATTTATTATTTTATCTATATTCTTGGACGAAATTCAAGGGAGGAATCGATTAAGTTAAACTAATTGTGTGATCATGATGCTTATGCAAGATGCAATGTGTGTTTTTTAGATTTCCACATACAGTGCATTACCCTTTAATTACCCTATTTTTTTTTTTTTTTTTACAAAATACTTAACATAATGTTGTAAATCTACACGATAAACTGCCCTGTATATGTTACCCTTGTAGTGGAGAAAGTGGATCTGCCTAACATTTCTAGAAAAGGGTTTGGAACAGTTTCACCATAAATGCATCACAACTTTCTGCCCACTGATGCCCCACCACATGCAGCTGTTGCCCTTTTTATTTGCTCCGGCAGCCTGAGTACGCCACTGCTCCCAGTGTCTGCCTGAGAAACAGCCAGTGGTTCAGTTCAGCCCAGCCAGATGGTTGCTGGATAAAAGCTCCGACTTGCACTCAGTCATTGGTTGACATTGGTTGGTAAATGGTGAGCCATCATTGAAGTTAACAGTGTGTATGTTAACCAGTATGTAAACAGCTGATAGGGCTTCTCACAGGGGGTGTATGTCAGATGTGACCAATGGACGAGGTACCTCATTCATTCCTTACTGTAAAGCATCATAAAGTATCCAGTGGAATCAACAAATCTTTTCTTAAAGTAAATATATATCTTTGATTAATTAAGTTAATTCAACTTAAAATGTCTTAATCGCTGAACTTCTGAACTTAGAAGCAGGAGACCTTGAAGGCTTTTGACCTGAAATGATGAGTTGAATTAATGTACTACTGAGAGTTTACTGAGCTTGTTAAATTAAGTCTCTAAAGACACATGACTGGCATATATGCAGACTTCCCAGCATGCATTATTTGATGGTTAAAAGTGTCTAGAGGCCTCTCCTGGTTGCTTCTTTTCCCAATAATGAAAACAATATTAACCACGATGAAGGTTACCCCCTCATATGATAAAGAAGTCAACTTATAAATAGAGCAGAATACACAGTGGGTTTGTGGATTGCCCCTGGAGACTGTTGAAGTCTTATTGCCTGAAGATGAAAGCTGTCTTTAAAACAAATGGTCTGCATCTCGATTCTATGATAAGGTTTATCCGAAGGCAGCAGTTTTTGTAGACATACCAGATTTCTTAAGGTATCTAAGAAAAAAAACAGCCTTTGTTGTGCTCTTTCCAGTATATGCAGTGTCAAAGTTATCAGACAATTTAAGACAGTTTGTGGCCTCTCTTTTAAGAATTTGCATCAGACAGCTGGTTTAGTTTGGCAACCTTATTCACAATGGCACAATGGTGTTCAATGCGGAGCTAAAAGTCTATGAACAATATAGTCAATAATCAGACTGAGGTGAGTCAAGTGAGTGTGTGTTGGGGGGGGGGGGGGGGGG